CTTGTGGGCTTCCTTGTTCACTTGCCCTCAGGGCGGTCCCCGTGAAGACTCACGTGCTGGGCCGTCCTAACAGACACCGGACTAGGCACCCCCAGATTGTCCGGCACCAAATACCATGGAGGTTAGGGTTGGTTGATGAGGGCTCACCAGTTGCTTACGAGACTCACTCTTCAGCCTCGTTCAGCCTTTGTGACCCGCCCTCGAGCCCCGCCATCATCCACCGAGCGGTTATTATTGTTGGCAGACGAACGTTGTCGATCAAGACAAAGTAAGCTGGAAAAGCCGTTTCTGGATCATAAGCCCTCATCAGCTAGCTTGAACCTGCGACCTGCTGATTAGACGTCCGACTCTCTTAGTCACTGTGCCACGGACTCGTTGGCGTGCCGGTTTAGATAGAGAATTTTGTCATCACTTAATGAACGCTGTTTCGTCTTGACTTCTTTACCTCTGTATCCAGCAGTCACGCGTACTTCAAACCAAATGATAACAACTATCAAGGCAGTACGGTACTATTAAACAAATAGTAAGGGATGATGAAAGTACAAACCTCAACAATGGATATACCTAGTCAAGGACGAAGGCAGTCGGCCAAATCGCCTGACTCTATACAAGGGGACAACACAAGTTCAACAATAACGCCACGCAGGGGGCGAAACTAGTCTTGGGAAAGCTTGTGTGTTTTAGTGGGAGAGGGGGCGTGGCTCTGCTAGTATATGATTTCAGGAGGCCATTCCTATGGCCTCAGGATTGGTCTGAAAACACCAGAGCGAAGGGGGAGGCGTGGACGTGAACAGAGGCAATACTGTGCCGGGAAGGGAGGGGGAAAGTCAGCGCTGGTGACAGCTGTAATCGAACCACAGGGGGAGGCAATAACAAGTAGTACTTGAAACAGTTGTCTCTTGATGCAGTGGGGGCGAAGGCGGAAGCATTCTGGGAAAAGGCGATTAAAATGTAAGAGAGCCGAACGGGGGTGGGGACAAGTATCAAACACCAGTTAAGTGGTACTTG